CCTTCCCCCCCAACCCCCCCGAGCCATTCTCAGTGTGTCCTTAAGTCACCACTAAGGCCATCGCTCAGGCCAGAGTTTCCAATAGGAAACCACCCGTGCCGGTCTGATAAAGCAGCCACAATCTATGAGATGCACTGAGAGCTTCAAGGAAAAAGGGAATTTGCAGAGCACGCCCGAGAAGCAAAGTGGCTTCAAAATAGACAAACAAAAAAAAGCAAAGAGGGACGCACACGCACATTTTTCCCATAATTTCCCCCCCCCCTTCCTTTCACAAATACCTTCCCACGGCCATTCTGCACTAGCTCAGTTTCTCAGCACAAGATGATCCTGGTTTTCTATGATCAAAGGAGAGATTTTAATAGGGAGAGCAAGACCCAGACCAATTACAGCAGGCAGGGCTGGCCTGGCACTAATGACAGCCAGTTTCTGCGCCTCTGGAACCAGTCTGGCAACAACCGAGAGAGCTCGCCTTCCCGGGATGAGGTTTTTCGACTGCTCTTTGGTATTGTTTTATGATACGAGAAATGAAGGTCTGTCCCCGTGCTTACCTGAGGCAGGGCTGGGAGCGTGTGGGGCGAAGGAGGGCCGAGCCGGCTGCGGCGGGCACGCCTGGCCATTCATAACCCCCACGTCCACGTCAGCCGCCTTCCTGTCTGGCACCGAGGCCGGCCTCCCGGCCCAGGGAGCTGCCAGTGTTTTTTCCCCCCAAAAAAATAATCTACCAGCTCTGTCGTGGTGTTTCCGTCTTTTCTCCTGCAAGATCGCTCCACGCTGCTGCCCGAGGAGAGCTGAGCAGCTGCCCAGCGTTCCCCTCGGCATCACCTTCTCTTGTTTTTCCTCCACGCTCGCTCCTGGCAGCAGAAGCTGCTCAGAAGTTAAAGGCGAAGGGAGCAGAGAGTGGATCCGGCGCAGCTGCACCTACAGCCCCAGGCTGGGCGAGCCACCAGCAGAGTCCTGCTGCTGCTGCTGCTGCTCCGCGGGACAATATCCACATTTTTCTTTCGGGAACTGCTTTAGCAGCAGCCTTCCCGACAAACTTTTAACAGAGCCGCTCAGAAACACCCATTTGAAATGTTGAATTCCCAAGGTTTAGGCAAACAAAGAGCCTTTTATATTTCACCACAAAATCAGTTATAAGAAAGTCCTGCTGCTCGCCAGCCAGCCACCCCCCAGCCCTGCACTCCGCAATTTAAATCTGCCGCACAATTTGGAAATTCCCAAGCGAGAAGCAGAATAGATCCAGCATCTCCCCAGCACTTCCCGGAAAGAGGCCTGGTTAGGAGCAGGACAGACTCTTTACACACCTCTAAGCCATGCAAACCAGAGCCTATCTGCATGGCCATACCCATAAGAAAAGGAAGCAGCATAATAAAAGATGAAAAATAGTTATACTGGGGCTTTAATGGGTATCTTGTGTTTCCCCTGAAAGTCTATGCATGCAGGCCAATTTTAAAGTCATTAGTTGATATAAGAAAGGGAAAAAGCCTGTGAAATTAAGCCACAGCTGAGTTAGGAGAAGAGCCAAGCGAGGTGAGCGCGGCAGGTCTGGCAGGGGCTGGCTCAGCGAGCAGCAAGAGGCGTTTTTCAACCATCGCGAGCAGGACAGGAGGAGAAGGCAGTTTGTGGTTCAACTCTGAGCTCAGGATTTCGGTGCAGACCAGGTGGCGATGCCAGGAGGGAGGTTATGGGGTTTGTGCGACGGATGGAGTTCGCACACGCAGCTACTGAGGGGAGGCAGGTAGGGCAGCGAGCACCGGCGGGGCTGGACAACCCTTTCTGGCAGGGGAGAGGGAAGGCTGCACCTTCCACTGGGGGTTGTCCCCCCTCGGCCTTCCAAGTATCCTCCCCACAGCCACAGAGGGTGGAAAAGCCACCCAGGAAAGTAACTTTTATAAAAGGTCCCCCCCTCCTACTTTCCCTTCCCCAAAAGGGGAAGGTCAGACGGCAGACGCTGCAATTTAAAAATCTTCATCTGAAAGGCTAGAAACGACTGCAGTGTAACAGGAACAGCTACCAGAGCCCTCAGAATTACCGATTTAGGGCCACTTTTCTTGCCTCTTACGTGACATTTGCATCTCCTGCAGCGTCAGAGCCGCAGCTGTTCTGGCAGGTTTCCCCAGCTCCCGCTCACGCGTCCACGCCGGGACGATGCTGCGGGTGGAGGCTGAGCTAATCCGCTGCAGGCTTTGCAGACGCTGCGTTAAGCTGACAAGCTGGGTCACGACTCCAGGAGACAGGTTAACTGCGCAGACAAATATTTCTAGGATAAAC